TTTTTGGTAATTTTTAAGAGACACTGCCCAGACTGGAGTGCAGTGGCACGACCACTGCAGCCTCAATCTCCCAGTCTTAAGCGAACCTCCCATATAATTTTTTTTTTTTTTTCCCAGAAAGGAGGGCTCACTATGTTGTCAGAGCTGTTCTTAAACTCCTGGGCTCAAGGAATCCCTGAGATTCCAAAAAGTGCTGGGATTACAGGCGTGGAGCTATTGCACCTGGCCCTCCATTTGTATCCTTGCCTCAGTCCCTGCAAATATTAAGTATGTGTCTGTCTGTCTTCATCCAAACACCCACTTATTCCTACACATAAAATCTTTCTTCTACGCATAAAATATCTCCATTCCTAACAAATACTTCTGCAAAGTCCTACCCAGTTTCTACATTCAGGTCCGAGGTTTCTTTGTGATTTTCAATTCTCTCCACTAAGTCTAAAGGTGATTCATTGTGGTCTGATGACCTATAAACTAAAATGCAAGTTGTACCTCTTCCTTTACATGTATTATGCAATGGTGAAGTAGAAAAAATGTATCTACAATGGAAATTTCCATTCAGAAAAGGGAAAAATGGAAAACACATGGCAGTCATGAAGGTAAACTGCCAGGGCAAGAGAGGACGTTTCTTGGTCAGCCCAGTTACAAGTCCACGTTTTACTCCCTGAGAGAAAATCCCTGTCTACAGTCCTCCCTGGCCCTTAGCCTTATTCCTTAGCAATTATTTTTCAAGAAGTAGGCAATGGGTCACGTGCTTTTCTTGGAGGTCATACAGATCTTGTGGTTGCACTAAATTTTTACAACATCTATAACCAAATTCAGATAAATTTTATCAGCTAGGCCAGGCACAGTGGCTCATGCCTATAATCCCAGCACTTTGGGAGGCTAAGGCGGGTGGATCACGAGGTCAAGAGATCAAGACCATCTTGGTCAAAAAGGTGAAACCCCGACTTTACAAAAAATACAAAAATTAGCTGGGCATGGTGGTGCGTGCCTGTGGTCCCAGCTACTTGGGAGGCTGAGGCAGGAGAATTGCTTGAACCCAGGAGGTGGAGGTTGCGGTGAGCTGAGATTGTGCCATCGCACTCCAGTCTGGGTAACAACAGCGAAACTCCATCTCAAAAAAAAAAAAAAAAAAATTTTTATCAGCTAAATTTTGGCAGAGTCCATAACACTGCCAATTATAAACTTACCCTTATTTTACCTTATAATACCAATTAATGATAGAAATTTCTCATAAAGACTCACTTGGATAGGATTCCAACTGTTTTTACTGTCTACTACACTAGACATGTCAGTAGTTCAGTTAATACACCAAGAATTTGAAATAAGTAATTATACATAAGTTATCTTCTATAACAGTGTTTTTTAGTACAAATTATTTCTTTGACATTTGGCATACCACTTAGAACATCCATAATCTATGTAATATTCTTTATGTAAAGTTTTCTACAAGGAGTTCCCTAGTCCCATTATGCTTAACTATATGTTAGATCTTCTATTATAAACTCTGTTTTTCATAGCTTATGAAGCTGTTTAAATTTGCTCTAGCTTAAAACTCGACAATTAAGGACAATCAAGATAATAATGCATTTTTTTTTTGAGACAGAATCTCAGTCTGTTCCCCAGGATGGAGTGCAGTGGTGCAATCTTGGCTCACTGCAACCTCCGCCTCCTGAGTTCAAGTGATTCTCCGGCCTCAGCCTCCAGAATAGCTAAGACTACAGGCACCCATCACCAGCGGGCCCGGCTAATTTTTGTATTTTTAGTAGAGATGGGGTTTCACTATGTTGGCCAGGCTCGTCTTGAACTCCTGACCTTGTGATCTACCTGCCTTGGCCTCCCAAAGTGCTGGGATTACAGGTGTGAGCCACCGCGCCCAGCTTTAATGCACATATTTTTTAAAGTTCACACACATTTACAAAAAGAGAGTAATACACTCTGTTGTACTGTCATCTTACAGAACCCTTGGAAATTTTTTTTGGCCTGTCTTACAAAAAAAAATGCATTAAGACAATGAAATTTAAGAACTAGCATGGGCTGGGCACGGTGGTTCACGCCTGTAATCCCAGCACTTTGGGAGGCCAAGGCGAGTGGCTCATGAGGTCAAGAGATTGAGACCATCTCGGCCAACATGGTGAAACCCTGTCTCTACTAAAAATACAAAAAATTAGCCGGGCATGGTTACATGCCTGTAATCCCAGCTACTTGGGAGGCTGAGGCAGGAGAATCACTTGAACCCAAAAGGCGGAGGTTGTGGTGAGCCAAGAACACGCCATTGCACTCTAGACTGGGCAAGAAGAGCAAAACTCCGTCTCAAAAAAAAACTAGCATGAATGTTACACTATGAACAAAAAGAGAGGCAGTCAACATAATGTACTAATGAATATTTCAAAGATTCATTACAGGGAAAAGATTTCAAACCAGTATCCTGCTGGTTGTTCTGACAGCTATAATGTCAAGATCAAGATTTATCATAACAAATAAAAAAGCTGCTTTTCTCTAGATAATATAAACATGTTAGTCATTTTACTATATTACAACAGTCAATGATTAACGATATCAAGAGCTATTGATGAATAGAGTTACCAAGAAAGTTGTTAGCCCATAATGCTAGTAAGTGACAAAAAGGGATTTAATCAATAATATAGATCAACTAACATCAAAGAAACCAAATACAAATCACTATTCTGTAATACTCTCCTTAAACCTAGACTATCTGGTAAATATGCAGGTTCCCAGTCAGAGGACATCTAAATGCAACGTAACTACTTCAGCATTCACTCCCTACTAATCAGCTGTTTGTTTTCACATGTTGATCACTACGCCTAAAAACACTCCAGAATCTAATATGGCTTTTGATTAATATATGCAGTTTCCTCTAATCTAGAAAAAGGTTAAGTTAAACACTGCCAAGTTAAAGTTAACTTAATACTGTTAAGTTAAAGACTGCAAAGTTAGCAAAGCTAACTAACTTTAGGTCTCCTCACCTCCTGGTTGTCTTGGTCATCCTTTTAATAGAATTTTGCAGAGTACAACTACTAAATACAACTACCAAAAAGAAAGCATTAATAAGTATTCGCTAAGTTTATACAATATGCACAGCCCTCTGGGGCATATATTTTTTTAAGTCATAAAGTCTGCCCATCAACAATAATAATTTCGGCTGGACATCGTAGCTCACAGCTGTAATCCCAGCTCTTTGGGAGGCTGATGCAGGAGGACTGCTTGAGCCCAGGAGTTTGAGACCAGCTTGGGCAATATGGTGAGACCCTGTCTCCACAAAAAATAAATAAATTGATTAACTGGCAAAGGTGGCACATGCCCGTGTCCCACCTACTTGGGACGATGAGGTGGGAAAATTGCTTGATCCTGAGAGGTTGAGGCTGCAGTAAACCATAATCGCACACTACACTCCAGCCTGGGAGACAGAGTGAGACCGTCTCAAGACTTACATGAACAAGATTAGACACATGAAACAATTAGTGAATGAGCTATTATCTAATAAAATGTTGTGCTACATACTACAGATGCAGGCTCTAATGCTTGAAAGAAAGTTTAGAATGGGAGAAAAACCAATGTCAGCTAAAATTGTCAGGCGTAAACCAGGCACAGTGGCTCATGCCTTGTAATCCAGCACTTTGGGAGGCTGGGAAAGGCAGATAGCTTGAGCCCAAAAGTTCAAGCCCAGCTTGGGGAACATGGTGAAACCCCATCTCCACAAAAAATATAAAAAATTAGCCGAGTGTGGAGGCACATGGCATAATTTCAGCTACTTTGGAGGCTGAGGCAGGAGAATCTCTTAAATCTGAAAGCTGGAGGTTGTTGGTAGTGAGCCAAGATTGGGTGACAGAGCAAGACTCTATCTCAAAAAAAAAAAAAATACTACATGGAAATGTTTTGTTATTAAATTTGTTTGAGGGGAGATGTTCTGAGGAGGTGGCACCATAAAGAAAATAAAAACACTAGACAATTCAGAGTTGGTGAGGCCAGGTTCACACCTGTAATCCCAACACTTTGGGAGATCAAGGTGAGAGGATCATTTGAGCTCAGGAGTTCGAAACCAGCCTGGGCAAGATGGCAAAACCCTATCTCTACAAAAAATACAAAAAGTAGGTGGGTGTGATGGCATGTGCCTATAGTTCCATGCTAGGAGAATTGCTAGAGAGCCCAGGAGGTTGAGACTGGAATGAGCCATGTTTATGCCACTGCACTCTAGCTTGGGCAACAAAGTGAGACCATGCCTTAGAAAAAAAAATATATATATACTTCTGAGAAAATACCAGGGATTAATTATAGAAGTACCTAATCCTTCATAATACTTTACAATTTACACAACAGAGTATATGTACTAATCAATATCTGCATACATAGTATCCTTCCTCAATTAAATAATCCTAGGTCAACAAATAATCAGGAAAAAGTTCATTATAATCATTAAACATATTCACTAAATTTCTATGTGTTACTGAAACTGAAACTTAAAGCTACTGTTGTGGCTTTTACAATTTAAAATTAAGATCCCTCTTATAAAGCAATTTACTTTAATTTTTCTAACCAATGATGACTCTTAACAGTCCAAAGGACAGGGAAAGAGTCTTAAAACAGTCTGGAACAAAATAAAGTTTATGGAATGATGTAGAAAGCCTGAAAGGTTGTTACTCCTAACTTTAAAATGAGAAAAGGCTAGATAAACCATCCTATCACAACATTTCCTGAGTCCATCAAAGAGCAACCAAATAGCCGGAGATCTTCGGGAAGAGCTCCCTCCAAGGAAAGCCAGGATGTATGCATTGATATCCAACAGCAAACATAAGAGAAAACTGTAGCTGCCATACAAGTGAGAAAAAAATCAGCTAAAAATTTCCCAAAATGCCACTCATCTACTCTCTACTGCTAGTGATGTGGCTATTCCAGCCATTTCATGTAAGTGGAATCATATAACATACGATTTTTTGTATTTGGCGTCTTTGTCTTAGCATAATATTTTGTTTTGTTTTTTCCAGTGTTCAGTTTCCTTTAATGACCTCTATCTCCCTAAAGGGCAGGTGCAGGCAGCTAGGCGATGGCAAGAGATGTTAACTTGAAGAGCTTGCCCTGACTGAAGGCTTCCCACATGCTGGAAGGCCCCCTCCCAGGAAAAGTGCTCTCGAACCAAGTCTGGGTCTCCTCGCTACCAGGATCCGGTTTCCGCCATGTGTATGACTCGTAGTCTACCTGCCAATCTGGACTCAGCGGAAAAGCAAGCACCTTGCCTAGGAAGACCCAGATTCCAGAAATGGAGCTGCTATTGTTGGTTCCAAAGAGGATGACACTGGCGAAGGCATTCTTCCTCAGCTTGTCCAGTCGCTGGAACATTCTAGTGATGAGATTGCAGCTCATGAAGGTCTGAGTAAGTTCTTCGACCAGCTGTCCTTATTGAAGTGCTCCCAGAAATATGGCAGTGCCGCATAGTGTGTCCTTACTGGACTATTTGCACTTAAATTCATCCAACACAAAGGTACTCTTGAGCAAGAGCGAAGGGGTCCTTGGTCTTGGGTTCAGCAGCCAGCGCCTGCTCACATTCATCAGCCCACCTAGGTACTGGCTGCCAGCACTATATTGCTATCAGCAAAGCTCACCCACTGCACCACCTGGGCTGCTGCCTCTGGAGTACTTCCCCGCAGCACCTCATTGCTTATATAGTAGGCAATGGTATTGCTCTCAAACACACAGAATCCATCATGACCCTCAAATGCTGGAACCTTGCCAGCAGGAAGTTCGTGGAGAAATTCAGAAACGCAGTTGGTTTGGCCAAAGTGGAAGTGGGGTGGTGCGGAAAGCATGCAAACCTGAGCCCCGCTGTACTGAGCAGCGATGAGGACGTTGAAGGCCCTCCAGTTTTCAGGATATGTGTACAGGGTCCCAGCCACCATGGTGATTCCGCAAAGAAATGTTTTAAAGGTTCATCCATGCTGTGACACATGCTTGAAAACTTCATTCCTTTTTTGTTAACAAATAATATTCCATTGTACAAATATACTACATTTTGTTTAGTTGATTGGTATTTTTTGTGCCCTGAAAACTACAAAATGTCATTGAAAGAAACTAAAAATCGAAATAAATGGGGAGACATTTTAATTTCATAGGCCATAAGACATAATATTAAGATAGCAATATTCCACAGCTTCAGTGAAATCCCTATGAAAATCTCAGCTGTCTTTTTTTTTTTTTTTTTTTTTTTAGATGGATTTTCGCTCTTGTTGCCCAGGCTGGAGTGAAATGGCACTATCTTGGCTCGCTGCAACCTTTGCCTCCCAGGTTCAAGCAATTCTCATGCCACAGCCTCCCAAGTAGCTGGGATTACAGGCACACATCACCACGCCTGGCTTATTTTGTATTTTTATTATTTATTTATTTTGACACAGAGTCTCACTCAGTCACCAAGCCTGGAGTATTGTGGCACGATCTTAGCTCACTGCAACCTCCACCTCCCAGGTTCAAGTGATTCTCGTGTCTCAGCCTCCTGAGTGTCTCAGCTTCCTGATTACAGGCGTTCACCACCACACCTGGCTAATGTTTTTTTGTGTTTTTAGTAGAGATGGGGTTTTACCATGTTGGTCAGGCTAGTCTGCAACTCCCGACCTCAAATGATCTGTCCATCTCAGCCTCCCAAAGTGCTGGGATTACAGGCATGAGTCACAATGCCTGGCCCTAATTTTGTATTTTTAGTAGAGACAGGGTTTCATCATGTTGGCCAGGCTGTTCTCAAGCTCCTGACCTCAGGTGATCCACCTGTGTTGGCCTCCCAAAGTGCTGGGATTACAGGAGTGAGCTACTGCACCTGGTCTCAACTGTCTTTTTTGCAGAAATTTGACAAACTGATCCGAAAATTCATATGGAAATGCAAGAGACCCAGAATATCCAAAACAACCTTGAAACAGTAAAACAAAGTTGGAGAAATGAAATTTTCTAATTTCAAAGAGTAAATCTTACTACAAAGCTACAGTAATCAAGACAAGGGGATACTGGCATATGGTAGGAATATAATTCAATGGATTATGCTTTGGGAGGCCGAGGCAGGCCGTTCACGAGATCAGGAGTTTGAGACCAGCCTGGTCAACATGGTGAAACCCCGTCTCTACTAAAAATACAAAAAATTAGCCAGGCGTGGAGGCAGGTGCCTGTAATCCCAGCTACTCAGGAGGCTGAGGCAGGAGAATCACTTGAACCTGGAAGGCAGAGGTTGCAGTGAACCAAGACTGCACCACTGCACTCCAGCCTGGGCGACAGAGTGAGACTCTGTCTCCAAAACAAAACAGAACAAAAACAAAATAAATCAATGGACTAGACTCTAGAAATAAAACCTTACAGTTATTGTCAAAGGGTGCTAGGACAATAGAAGACACACACATACAAGAATGAAGTTTGACCCCTCATGCCATATCTAAAAACTGGTATTCATCAGGCACAGTGGTGCATGCCTGTAATCCCCAGCACTTTGGAGGCTGAGGTGGGTGGTTCACCTGAGGTCAGGAGTTCAAGACCAGCCTGGCCAACATGGTGAAATCCTGTGTCTACTAAAAATACAAAAATTAGCTAGGCATAATGGTGGTGCCTATAATCCCAGCTACTTGGGAGGGTGAGGCAGGAGAATCACTTGAACTCTAGAGGTGGAGGTTGCAGTGAGCCAAGATTGTGCCATTGCACTACAGCCTGGGCAAGAGAGCAAGACTCTGTCTCAAAAAAAAAAAAAAAAAAAAAGAAAAGAAACTGGCATTAATAGATGATATATAAATGTAATAGCAAAAACTATAAAACTCACAGAGGAAAACATAAGTAAATCTTTGCAGCCTTGGGTTAAGCAATGGTTTCTTAGATATTAAACTAAAAAGTACAAGTGACAAAAGAAAAAAACAGATGAACCGGACTTCATCAAAATGTAAAACTTTTGTATTTCAAAAGGCACTGTCAAGAGAGTGAGAAGATAACCTACAGAAGTGGGGAAAATATTTGCAAATCATGTATTTTAAGGGACTTGTATCTAGTCCCTTAAAAGGGACTTCATAAAGAACTTTCACAATTCAGTAATAAAAAGACAACCCAATGAAATAATGGGCGAGAATTTGAATGGATATCTGTTTACCAGTATATATCTACATATATAGACCTTTACATATGATCCAAAGAGATGAATCAGATATGCTGATCTAAATTTTTCCCAATACCATGAATACACTGGGACTGACAGTTCTGACTTTAAGAAAGGAGCTAAGGTAAAAGAAAGACTGAAGTTCATATATATTTAAATTTTGAAGCATTTTATGTTAATATGAACTTGGTTTAATTCTCTTTCTCAATTGACAACTTACATTACCATATCAAATTTCTAGTTATATCCTAAAATGAAAAAATCTAAATTCCAAGTTTTTATATTATACTAGCACTTAAGAAAAACAGGTTTTAAAAAAAATAGGTTCCTGAGGTAGGAGCCTTCCTTAAGTCCAACAATTCGAGTCCAGCCTGGGCAACATAGTGAGACACTGTCTCTAAAATAATACAATAAAAGTTTACTATTTTGTAGTTATATACACGGATGTGCATTTTGTCATTCTAAATGTGAAATAAGAATGAATAAAATGTATTGGCTGGATACGGTGGCTCACACCTGTAATCCCAGCACTTTGGGGGAACGAGGCAGGTGGATCACCTGAGGTCAGAAGTTCAAGGTGGAGGTTGCAGTGAGCCAAGATCATTCCATTGCACTCCAGTCTCGGTGACAAGAGCAAAACTCCACCTCAAAATTTTTTAAATAGGATGATAAATTTATACTGAAACAAAGAACCCAATAAACAGACTCAGGAAAAATGTCAATCCTATCATAAATCTGAAATAATGGCAGAACAAGAAAGAGTATAATTTCACACAATATATTTAAGAGAAATAATTCAATACATATCCCACACCAAAAGAGCAAAAAATAAAACACTCCACAAAACCAAAAACAACCCGCTAATTTTTTGTGTTTTTAGCAGAGATGGGGTTTCACCATATTGGCCAGGTTGGTCTTGAACTCCTGACCTCATGAGTCACCCACCTTGACCTCCGAAAGTGCCGGGATTACAGGCATGAGCCACCACACCTGGCCATAATTTTTATTATCTTATAAAATTGATTCTTTTTTTCTTTTGAGACAGGGTCTCACTGTCACGCAGGCTGAAGTGTTAGTGGTACAATCATAGCTCACTATAGCCTCAATCTCCTGGACTCAAGCAATCCGTCTGCCTCAGCCTCCTAAATACCTGGGACTTACAGGCACATACAACCGTGCCAGGTAATTTTTTTTTTTTAAGTAGAGACAAGGTCTCACTATGTTGCCCAGGCTGCTCTGAAACTCCTGAGCTCAAGTGATCCTCCTGCCCCAATCTTCCAAAGTGCTGAGATTACAGGCTTGAGCCACCATAGCCAGCCAATAAATTTTATTCATTCTTATTTCACATTTAGAATGACAAAATGTACATCTGTGTACATAACTACAAAATAGTAAACTTTTATTGTATTATTTTTAGAGACAGTGCCTCACTATGTTGCCCAGGCTGGACTCGAATTGTTGGGCTTAAGGAAGCCTCCTGCCTCAGCCTCCTGAGTAGCTGGGACTACAGCTACGTACCATGGAACCTGGTTCAACTTATTATTTTTATAAAGAGAATATTTATATCAACTTAGCACATTTTATCTGTATCTAAACATTTTAGTAGAACTTAAATAAAAATTTAATTAAGTCCCAATAAGCTAATTTGCAACATTTAATTTTATAGAATTAACTAGGTTTAACTATATGGAAAGGTTTTCTTTAACATAAAATTTGCAACATAAAAATTTTTATGCACAGAGATGAACTTTGTAAGAATAAGAAGCCAATCATGGAAATGTTCCCATGATCATAATCAGTGGTTCTTAAAGCTCAAAAGTACCAAAGAAGCAGAATTACAGTTCTATAGTACTCCCATTTGGCCTCTAAGAACACAGCCTTATTGAAATCTAAACCAAAGCCTTCTTTACCCACTCAGGAAGAAAAATAACTACAGGTAAGATTAAATCTGTTATAATCAGGAGGTTCCTCAAGAATTTAGGCTGGTGGGTAACTACCTCAAAGGAAAACTTAGAACAAAAAGATTACCTCAGCGACTTTTGGAGGCACTCCATCCCCAAGCACTTCTCTGATGAAGCAGTGCTGGCCCATGTAATATGAGAGTCCACAGGTCCTCTTGAAGGCATCCTTCAGTCGTTTTAGCTCTACATCTGTAACTGCAATTCCAAAACAGAAGATGGGTAAGAAATCAGGCAGGAAAAGAAGTCTCTCATCATTTTCTTCAACCTGGTTCCTAAGAAATATTGAGGCCAGGTGCAGTGGCTCACACCTGTAATCCCAGTACTTTGGGAGGCCAAGGCAGGCAGATCACTTGAGGCTAGGAGCTCAAGATCAGCCTGGTCAACATGGCGAAACCCCATCACTACAAAGAAACACAAAATTAGCTGGGTGTGGTGTGCATGCCTATAATCCCAGCTACTCGGGAGGCTGAGGCACAAGAACCACTTGAGTCTGGGAGACAGAGGTTGCAGTGAGCCAAGACCATGCCACTGCACTCCAGCCTGGACAACAGAGCAAGTCTCTGTCTCAAAAAGATAAGTAAATAAAAAGAAAAAAAAAGAAAAATTGGCAAACGTTACACTTCTCTTTTGGTTAAGTAAAACAAACGCAATGATATTTAGCCATAATTGTAATTTTTTCAAATCTAATTAAAAAAAAATAAGTATAAGGGCCGGGCATGGTGGCTCACACCTGTAATCCCAGCACTTTGGGAGGCCAAGGTGGATGGATCACGAGGTCAGGAGTTGAAGATCAGCCTGGTCAAGATGGTGAAACCCCATCTCTACTAAAAATACAAAAAAAATTAGCTGGGCATGGTGGCATGCGCCTGCAATCCCAGCTTCTCGAGAGGCTGAGGCAGAGAACTGCTTAAAACACAGGAGGTGGAGGTTGCAGTGAGCCGAGATCACACCACTGCTCCAGCTTGGGCAAAAGAGTGAGACTCCATCTCAAGAAAAAAAAAGTATAAAAATTATTATCATCATCATTATTATTATTATTATCATTAGAGATGGGGGTCTCCCCATGTTGCCTAGGCTGGTCTTGAACTGTTGGGCTCAGGCAATCCTCTTACTTTGGCCTCCAGAAGTGCTGGGATTATAGGCATGGGCTACCACACCCAGCCAAAATCCTTAACCTTCAGTTTTCAGAAGACAAAACTTTAATGTAGGCATACAAACTTTAGGTAGGGACACAGAAGAAGTAACAAATATTTCTATTTAGCAGGTAAGCTAAATGCCATTGGATTCTGGCATTAATGTTTCCAGGAGCAATACATTAATCTCCCTTGTGATAAAAACTGTATCATTTGTACTCCTGGAGCACATCTCTATCCATGTGGAGAACAGTCCTCAAGTTTAGCTTGGGTTTTGTCATTATTTACAAAGAAAATAATTCATAAATAGATGATATTAACAACCTAAAAATTTTAGATACTCATTATCAAAAATAAAAAATTATTGAGCCATTACTTTATGCATTGAAAACTTTTTTTCACTGTATAAGGCAATATCTATCTACAAGGACAAAGAAATAAATACCCTTTACTATTACATGGTCAGTACCACAGTCACAATGGAGGCACAGAAATGGTACCTCGGCCCATGCTAGAGAAAACAGAGAATTCTTCCAGATGAAGAGGATTACATTAAATTTTAAAGGCTAAACCAAGCAAAATGAACAAGAATATGCTGGTCAGAAATCACAGTTTGCTTCAAAGTACGATGAAGTACAGAAACGTATGGTAAAAGTATCTTACTAAAGCAAAATAAGCCAGTCACGGACTAACAAATGATAAACCTATAGAGGCAGCAAGACCAAGTCACAGAGGTCTCTGTCCTGTCATTAGGAAGAGACATAGACACAACTCAGATAAAAACTGCAGGTAGACAAGAAACAAGACACAGTGAGATAATTTTGATAGCTCACTCTACCAATAATATAGAGAGAACAGAACAAATCTGGAAGCCTGCTACTATAAGAAAAGGAGCTAAGTCTGGGAAATATCCAGAGGTTCAGTAGAACTTGAAGCTAGACTAAGAGTAGAAGCAGTACTGGAGAGCTTTTTTTTTTTTTTTTTTTTTTTTCTTGAGACAAAGTCTCGCTCTGTCGTCAGGCAGCAGTGCAGTGATGCAATCTCAGCTCACTGCAACCTCCACCTCCCAAGTTCAAGCAATTTGCCTGCCTTAGCCTCCCAAGTAGCTGGAACTACAGGTGTGCACCACCACACCCGGCTAAGTTTTGTATTTTCAGTTCCACCATGTTGGCCAGGCTGGTCTCAAATTCCTGATCTCAAGTGATATGCCTGCCTTGGCCTCCCAAAGTGCTGGGATTACAGGTGTGAGCCACCGTGCCCAGCCAGTACTAAGAAACTTGAAGGATTACGTTATCATGTAGACAGAGAATGTAGGAATAAGTCAGGAAAAAAGATGATAAACTTTTTTAAGGACACTGAATATGGGAAACCTTGGAAGACGCAATGGGGTTTTAGAATTGTAAGTGTAAAACTTAAGAGAGGTTTGACAGGAGTCATCGGTATAGAGGTATTAAGTAAAACCATGAGGAAAAAGCATAATGAGACATACCAAAACTAGAAGAGGCCAGTATTTGTAGTGTCTACAAGAGGAAGGAAACAGAGAGGAAAACTAAGAAAGGGGAAGAAAGTTGATATGGAATAGTCAGGAGAACAGAAGGAGAAGCAGAAAAGTGTGCTCTCCAAAGGCCAGGAAAACAGGACTTAATCAAGTTAAGGCAGAAAGGACCTGTGAAGACAAAGACTAGGCCAGGCGTAGTGGCTCATATCTATAATCCTAGCACTCTTGGGAGGCCAAGGCAGGAGGATTGCTTGAGGCAAGGAGTTACAGACCACCTTAGGCAAAATAGAGAGACCCTGTCTCTACGAAAAACAGAAAAATTAGCCACCCATGGTGGTACATGCCTACAGCTACTCAGGAGGCTGAGATGGGAGGATCACTTGAGCCTGGGAAGTGAAGGCTACAGTGAGCCATGATTGTGCCACTGCACTCCAGCATGGATGACACAGTAAGACTGTCTCAAAAGAAAAAAAAAAAAAAAAAAAAGATAAAGACTAAAGAGTATTTGGCACACAACTAATCAATTCAATAAATGCTTGTTGTATGAAGGAAGGGTTCATGGTTCAGCAACATGTAGAGCAATGATAAAACAATCAGAACTACTAGTTCAATAAGTAGCTAGAGAAGTATGACTATTATGTACTTTATTTAAAACTAGATTCATAATATTAACATTTGCAATTGAAGAAGGTAACTTCAGCTGCTAGAATAAACGGCTTTAGTAACAAATTAGGTTGCTCATAGTCCAGTAGAGGAGACAAGAAAATCAAACATTAGAATAACATTAGAGTAATATATATATTATTAAACATTAGAATATATTATTAGAATAACATATTAGAATATAATTAATCTAATAGATTACCTATACAATAGTATATATTGTATAGATTATTTGAAGGACTACTTGGTAATATGTTTTTTAAAAAGAGCAATCTGGTGGCCGGGCACCATGGCTCACACCTATAATTCCAGGAATTTGGGAGACTGAAGCAGGTGGATCGCTTGAAGCCAGGAGTTTGAGACCAGCCTGGCCAACAAGGTGAAATCCCTTCTCTACTAAAAATACAAAAATTAGCCAGCTGTGGTGGTGGGTGCCTGTAATCCCAGTTACTCAGGAGGCTGAGGAAGGAAAATTGCTTGAACTGAGGAGGCAGAGATTTCAGTGAACCGAGACAGCCCCACTGCACTTCTGCCTGGACAACAGAGTGAGTGAGACTCTGTCTCAACAAAATAAAATAAATAGCAATCTGATGACTAATTAATTTATTCATTTAAGCTGTGGGGAAAGGTACCTATAAATAAGCTTTTAAAGCATTTATTAGAAACAAACCATGTCCATCAACAAAGGAGATTGAATAAATTATTGTATACACTTAGAATATTAGACAGACACTGAAATGTTGCTACAGATCCGTATTTACTGAAAATAAATACATAAGAATATCTACCATACTGTAAAATGTTGAAAATTTTGAAAATAAAAATTTAGGCAAGACAGAAAGCATAATTGAATCAAGTCTAATAAGTTCTGTGGCTTTCAGGGGTTTTTTGCTTTTTGTTTTTGAGACAAGGTCTCACTCTGTCACCCAGGCTGGAGAGTGCGGTAGTGGCATGATCTCAGTGATGGGTGCATTACAATCTCAGAATTCACTACTAAAGTACTCATCCATGTAACCAAAAACCATTTATACCCCCTAAACGACTGAAATTTAAAAATAAGTAATTGAAATAACAGGAGTGTCACTTCTGCTGTAGTCACAAAAATGTACAGATTCAAGGGGAGGGACATAAATTACCCTTCCAAGTGGGAAGGGAGAAGTGTCAAAGTCACACCGTAAGCAGTATATGGGGCCAGGCACGGTGGCTCACGCCTGTAATCCCAGCACTTTTGGAAGGCTGTGGTGGGTGGATCACCTGAGTTCAGGAGTTCAAGACCAGCCTGGGCAACATAGCAAAACCCCATCTCTACTAAAAATACCAAAATTAGCTGGGCACAGTGGAATGTGCCTGTAGTCCCAGTACTTCAAGGCTGAGACAGGAGAATCACTTGAACCCAAAAGGTGGAGGATACAGTGAGCTGAGATCACGCAACTGCACTTCAGCCTGGGCAACAGAGGGAGACTTTGTCTCCAAAAAAAAAAAAGCATACGGGATAAGAGATACTGTCATGGCCATCTTTTGAAAATATAATGTGCCATATATATGAATACTAAATATTATGTTTGAATTAGGTTTTCTTTTTTCCAAAGGCATCTGAAGAGCCCCACATCATATACGCCCCATTTAAATACTTAGAAATCCCCCTGCAAGACAACTTATATAAATAAATACTAATGACAATTGTACTTCCACAAAAAAGGAGTGCTACTAAAGAAGTTAGCTTTACCATAGTCAAACCAGGCCAGGCGCAGTGGCACACCCCTATAATCCTAGCATTTTAGGAGGCAAAGGTGGGTGGATTGCTTGAGCTCAGGAGTTCAAGACCTGCCTGGGCAACATGGCAAAATCTCATCTCTATCAAAAATACAAAAATTAGCCAGGTGTAATGGTGAATGCCTGTA